CAAAGCAATTTCAAAAACCCCATAGTCAAAACTGATATCATTATTGGTATCACATTTACTAAACACAACAGTACTGTTTTCCCATTTCTGGCGATCACCGTCATTCAATGTGCCACAATCCAGGTAATGAAGATTGCATTGCAGAGGGCTAGTCTCTTTTCTGCATTCAGATTTCCAGCATGTTGCGTGTCGTTCAATGTAAAGTAAATACCATGATGCCTCTAATTCCTACACGAAGAGAAGCCAAATTATTTGTATGTCTACACTTTAAAGTTGGCAAGATACGGTTAAAAATGGGAGCAAAGACACTGACTAATAAAAAATGAAATTCGAGTAAGAAAATATTACATACATGGTTAGCTAACATGTAAAGTAAGAGATCATATGCAGCCCCAGCCCAGCCAGACTTTGTGACAACTCCAGTGGCTTTGACAATCTGAGAGCTTAAAGGGAAGATTAAATACAAAGGAGCGCGTTATTAGAATAATCAGCATTGGAGCTTCTAATTGCTAGTATATGAACCATATCACAATCTGCCAAAAGAAAGGAAAAGGAATAAACTGATGTTAATCTGTCTAACTTCACAATTGACAGACTAGTAAACATCTTTTCTTAAAACCAAAAAAAAAGTCTTGTATGAGTTTTTCTTCATTAATCAAAATTCAACTCTAAACATTGAACCTTATGAAAGAAGCATTATAACCTCATCAAATTTCAGCTGTTGCTTTCTACATTTACACCAATCTTAGCTACTTTAGATGATTTCAAACTGTACTTTTAATATTGGAGTTCTATTTATAACAGCCTCTTTGAAACAAACAGACCATCACTTGCAATCTTTGACATCAAAGGCCTTCATGTAATTCTAGAAGAACCCAATTAAAACCATTTGATTTAAGTGAACATGAATCCAACGTTACAAACCATTAAAGGAAAAATACTGAAAAAGTACCTGAGGTAGGGGTGAGTAAATGATTGGTTCGGTCGGTTCGGTTTGAAAAAATTAATAATCGATTTAACCGACTTTCATTTAACAAACAATCGAATCGACCGAATATTATTATTAAATAACCGACCATAACTGAACCGACTAAAATCAGTTCGATTTGGTCAGTTCGGTTAAATAATCGATTTTTTTTTATCATTTTTCTTCCTATTATTAATAATTATTTAACCACAAATTCAATTCAATAAAATTCAAACTTTAGTATCATTCAAACTAAATTACTAAAGAATTTAATAATTTCGACAATATTTTACAAAAAAAAATAAAATAAAAATATTTATCTCAATTTTTTTTAATTTTAATTATTAGAAAGTTAGTTAATTTGGTTAATACAGTTATCAATTTTAAAAACTGAAAACCGACTGAATTAATCAATTTAACTGATTTAAAAAATCGATTATAACTAAAATCGAATAAATCGAACCGATTCAACCGAATTCGTTCGATTTCGGTTGGTCTAGTCGATTCAAATCGATTTTTGCTTATCTCAGGTTGAGGAAGAGGGAGGGCAGCCACTAGATCTATGAAGAAATCTGATTTCAAATACCGCATGGCAATCATATCAAAAACTCTGGAAGTAGGCGACACATAAGCTGTCAGGAACTTGATGATTATATGCAATATGTAAAATGCATGAGCAAGTGTCCGAAAACATGTCATAACAATTCCTAAATTCAAATCAGTGTCCTTACAAGATGTAGTGTCTTTGTTGATTACTAAAGGCAGGTAGAAAAACAATGGATCAACAAATAGAGCTACTAAGCACCAAAAGAGAAAAATCCTGTTCCATTGCAAGAAAATTTCACTACCAGGATCTAGAATTCTCTCCCTCCATGGCTCTTGATCCTCTGGAAAAACCTCAAACCTTCCAAATTTGGTAATTCTGCTGCTACTATTTCTATCACTATGACCTCCTTCAGTTTTCAACAAAGTGACTGTTGGTTTGTATACTGGCAGTGGCTTCTCTAGATATGTACTGCCATTATTATTTAACCCGAAAATTCAAAATGCAGCATCAAGAAAAATGAAATTGGGAAATGAAAAACAGGGAATGTTGCAGGGATTACCTCACTAGTTTATCTTTTTTGGACTCCATCCTTGTAATCTTAGTCACACAACACAAGTTAAGTGAAAACAAGCATAGACAAGAGAAATTGGTGCATCTCAACTGCGACAAAAATCATCTGAAACTCCCATCTTTAAGAGAGTCTATCTTACTTCTAGAAAAGAAAAAGGAAAAAAGAAAAAGATAGATCTTCATTCGCTCCTCATATCAACCAACATTGTAAATATCAGCAAAAGGTTTTTTTTTAACTGAAAAGAAAAAGTATCTTGGCTTAATTCGATGCATGCTTTTGGGGACAGAAGGAGAAGAGAGAAAGAGGAATCCATGCTCAAACCATGACAGAGTTTAGAGACAGCAACCAAGAAAGGAAGATATTTTAGCAGATTTGGGGTGAGTTCGTTATTCCTTTTTTGCTGTTTGCAAGTAGTAGTAGTACTACTAAATAAAATACTAATTTAAAAGACTTTGGCATTAATAAGAGAAGAGTTTGTTGCTGTTATGTTGTGTTGTGTTGTGCTTCCATGAATTTGATTTCCGGAGGTTTAATGAAATAGTGATGACGCACCAGGCAGGCCGGCATGATTCGTTACTGGAAGTTTATAGCAGTATTTTTAGGTTCCACAGCTGAGGTCGTTGTCCAACCAATTCTTGCCACATCTGCAGCCACAATGGCGGAAACCGTTTCCCTAAAAATAGGGAAATTAAACAATTAGCTTTTTAATTATGTACTAATAATCACTAAACTATTAAATTTTTTAATTTAATTATAAAAATTTGAGTTCTTTTTATTCAATAATTATATAAAAATATAATTAACACATCAACTATTAAGTATCACATAACATTAATATATAACTAAAATTTATTTTTTTAAAAATTTATAATATCATATCAATATTATTACATGACATATTAATGACGTGACAATGATAATTGATATGATATCATTAAATATGTTATAAAAAATTAACGATTAAATAATAAAAAATAATTTATTTAAATTTTAATGCTTAAATTAAAAATTTTAATAAGTAGATGATCATTTTAAAAACACTTTCATAATTATATGATTAATGATATATTTTAACCTAAATAATAATCCATGGAGGCGGTGATTTTTTTTCAAGTCAATTGCTTTTACTACTCTTTACCTTGCATAATGTGGTTCGGACACGTGCAATGGCATTGGCGTTACAAAAGAAAACGCTTATCAATTACTTTCTGAGTTCCTTTTCTTAGGGAGTAAATTTTTACAACTTTCACTTGCATTTCTCTCTGCCGACCTAATAATGCTAAATAAGATCCCTTCCAACACACTCATAATAAATTTATAGAATTCCGTTCGTCCAAAATGTGCTCCTTTTTTTTTAATGTAACACTTTGAAAATTAATTTTCATATTTCTTATACTTCACAAAATACAGTAATTAAATTTAAGAATAGCAACTATAAGATATGAGTTTTCTACACAATGAGCACGTTAACCACGAGATGAGTCAATAATCTGTTCCATTCCTAGGACGTGGACGTTCACCGCCACCTACCCTCTTCGAAGAGTCTCCGGTGGAATTTTAAAATTTCAGTATCAATAACGCATATAGCATTAACCAAGTGGAGGCTTACACGCCTATCAACAATTGTTTCTAACGAACCATACGTTCAGCCATTCATCAACACACGGAAATCTTGGTGAATAATTCAAGGGGAGATTAAAATTAATGGTGACCCAAGCTGACTATGAGCATTGCAATCATACTTCACAAAAACTTCAGCGGGAACGATATTAATGTGTATTCCTCATTTGGCTACCAGCATATGCATTGCAATATTGCATGCAATACCAAAAGAAAAAAAAAATCACAAACAAATCCAATATATCAAGATTTAATTTGTTGGACTTTTATCATTAAAAATTTTTTAAAAGTTATAAACTCCCAATCTAATATGATCAATCCATGAAAAACTAAAATGAAAAACTTTATCATACTCTTGCTGACACATTCCACGGGGCCAAAACATGATGGAACGTTCCAGCAAACGTTACCACTCAAAGACGCCCAATGAAGATTAATCTTCCTATGCAATGACCATAAACAGGTAGACAAATTCGTGCAGTTAAAACAAACACAACCACCAAATTTTGGTAGGTTAACCATCCTCCAGTAGAGCCCAAAGAGAACTGGCATTTCACTTCAGCTATACTTGTTTTGCAGCCAATATATAGCGGGGTGGACAAATCAATGATTAACTTGTATCAAGTTCCGCAGCTAAAAGCCAATAATCCCAGAAAACCCGCCATTTTAGACACCCTACAAAGACACCTTCCCACCCCAACCACCCTTCCCCCTCCCACCCCCCCCCCCCCCAAAAAAAAAAAAAGGAAAGAAATTAATTAAATAGTAAAAAAAAAAACTCTTTTTTATCACATATAATCATCAGGATATAGATGCAGACACTTGGAAGAAAAGCGAGTTCAGCATCCCAACTTTCCAACACAAGTAGATGACTCCAAATTTATTCTTGCTTGCCAGCTAAATAACCAAAAATATGTTGAAAAAACAGTAAGTAACTTTACACAGCCTTCTTAATCCTTCTTAATCTTTTTCTTGTCACTTTTAAAAGTTTGCAAAGAAATTAAATCTGTTAATTACTAATCCCACTCTTGTAAGGACCCTAAAACATCAACTTCTGTAGAACAGATCTAAGTACCTGCCAGAAGCATTTGACGCAGCTCCTCAATCCTTACTGTTTGAGGAAGGTGCATCACAGCTGGAGAGATTCATTCAAACAGTAGCAAATAGAGATGATGCCAAATGGGACCCACAGTCATCAAGTATTGAAGATCCCATAGCCGGGCAGCAAAGAAGTAAATCTCAGGGGTGTAGAAGCAGAAAAGCAATGAGGCAGACCCAGACGACACCTCAACACAAAAAGAAAAAGCATGAATTTTTAGCAGAGTTCCTGTAATGATCTCTCAATAAATTTATAGAGGTCATCTTAAGCTTTTTTTTTTTTTTTCCTAAGCAGAAAGAACTATTTAACATAGATAAAGCAAACAACGCCATCATAGAATAATAAAAAAATAAAAAAAAAGGAGCTTATCCAAATCCAAGAGGCTGAGGGCGTTGCCCAATTAAAAATAGTAGCACTGAAGTCCAAACAAACTCAACACACTTAATTCTTCTCACAAAAAAGTTAAAATCCTTGTGGTACTTAGCTCCTGCTCCTACGACGTTCCCTTACACCATTTCTGCACCAAATTCAGTAGCAATATTTCACCCATATATCATAATGCAAAACCACAAACAAAAAGTAAATTAAGAGGAGCATAGATGTGAGCATGATGTGTAGAACAGGAGACAAAATCCTATTCAGTTCAATGCACTTGCTTGTTTATAGGTGAAAAAGATTACAAGAAGAAAGCCTTTCCAGTTACTAGTATAGAGTTCATGGAACTTCACCCATTAGCATATGGCAATTCAACCCGACCACTGTATGGGGGAGACCTGCTGTAGCTACGCCCATGAGGAGAGAGACTGTGACGTCTTGGGGATCGTCCACGAGGACTGTAACTTCTGTTTCAAAGTGGTAAGTATCATCCAATCATATAACGACTTCAATCAATCATAAAGATAAGACAATGTTTGCTTAGGAGGCCTTACCTGCGTCCATAGCTTGGGCTACTACGATATCTAGGGCTGCGGCTGCGACGTCTTCCTGAACCACCACGCATGCGGCATTCTCGAGCAAAATGACCAGGCTCACCACACTCATAGCACTTCAAATCAGAACCGCCAGCGCGTCCACCTCCACCTCCGCGTCCACCTCTGCCTCTAGAATTATGAGAAAGCTCAACTCTCCAGCCATTCTTGCCTGATCCAAGTACATGGTATAGAATGTGAATCTCAAATGACAAGCTCATGCTCATTAAAGATGCCATTAAGAAAAAGAAAACAGAAACTTGCTGTTAGATGGATGAAAGAGGTGAAGACTATAATCTTGCCAACAAGTTTTATAGACTTTCAAACTAATATAAAACTAAACTGTCAAAACAACAGAAAACAGATTGTACAGGATAATAAAATCAACTAAAGAGTAAATTACAAATAGAGAGAGGTCACTTGTAAATATGACCCATCTTATTAGCAAATAATGGCAGCAATGGGCTGCTTCATTGTGATCTAACAGCGTACACAAACTTCTTCCACAAATAGATATGTAGCTGGGGACACATAAAAAGCATATTCTTCATAATGCTCATCTGATTCTGCAGAAATAGAAGACTACTAAAGGCATACCAAGATCATGATTTTCAATATAAATCTTTCCTATCAATAACGAAAGGGCAGCCCAATAACTATGTGATAGCTCCTAAATAAGGCATTATCCAGTTTTTTTAAAGAAATAAGGCTAGTTTGGCAGCTTTCATTTTCAATGAGAAAGGAATCACAACTAACTAGACAGAACATCAAGGATGCAACGAGTGCCATTATAAATTATAAGAAATTAAGAGGATTTGGTTGGAATACCATCTAATTCACGAATTGCATCCTCAGCGTCTCTGTGATCATCAAAGTCAATGAAAGCATAACCTGGTGGTCTTCGAGCAACCCATACACTGCAAAAACGAATGACAACATTCAAAGGAATTATGAAAACAAAATCATGCTTGAAAGGGTGCATATTACAGACAATTATCGTCTATCATATAGCAGTTCAAAAGAAGACGAAAAAAAAAAGAGAAAGGTACAACAATATTCCACCTCCGAATAACTCCAAAGACACGAAACTCGTCTTCAAGATCCCGCTCCGAAACTCGTGGGTCAAGGTTACCCACGTACACGCGAGACATCTTTTTTCCTTGGGTGGATCAGACGAAACCTATCAAATAATTTTTACGTTATTCAAATTTCAGTTCAACACCAAACTAACCAGACAAAAAGGTGGTTGTAAGAATTACGAAAGCAAAGAAACATAGGAATTAAATCAAAATTGAGAAAATAGAAAAGAAACTATAGGGATATATAGATATAATCTATTAAGAATTAACTGCCAAAATTGAAAGCAAAAGTAATCTGCAATCGTAATTGTCTTTAGAAAAGTAAGGGATCAAAGCGAGTGAGAAAGATCTGAACCTCAACCTGATGAGTTGCCCCAAGGAGGAAATAGCAGCTGCTTCTGCTTTTTGCTTTTGTTTCTTTTTTTTTTCTTTTTTGGGGGGGGCGGGAGTTGATTTAGGGCTTTGGGTTTTAGAAATAGAGAGAGGAGAGAGAGAGAGAGAGAGTTAATTAATCGGCTATAGCATCCTTGTTGACAGTATATCTTCCAGATTCAGTCCTAAACAAGGAAACCATTTAGGCTGTGTTTTTGGAATAGTAGTATTGGCCCATCATAGAATAGCATTTGGTTCAATTTGCGGTAGGTTAGTAGATTAAAGTACAGGCCTCATGCCCAAATTGCTTAACCACTTGACCGAAATCAGAATGCTCACTGGATTGGTCACTCGCATGAAGGTAATATTAAAATATAAACAGTTAATAATTCAAACATATAATTAAAGTATTTTAATCAATGTTCAAGATTTAATGCTCTTATGGCATAATGTCAAACTAATAGCTTGACTTTTATGGAGACATACTTTTCACTATGATAGCCTATTTCAATATTCTTTGATACATTAACTTTTCTTTGCTTAAGTGGATTAATGGTCAATTTAATAATTTTATAGGATTTTTTGATGCAAAAGATCTATAATATTGTGACAATTGCAGAGCATACATAACTTGTATTATTACAAACTATGATATAAAAAACTCTTTTTGATTCTAAACCTAACAGCTAAAAAGAGAGGAAGAAATTATCAAAAGAGATGAAAGGGTTTAAAAGAACATATTTATATCAAAGGAGGTTTACTTACAAACAAGTTCTTAAGGAAATTAGGTTATATCATTCTCAAAGAAGTTTACAACTTATAAAGGAGGAAAAAGCAAATAAATAGGACTTATAATAATTATATTGGATCCATGACTTAACATAAAACAATCAACTAGACTTAAAGTAATTGACTTGGCTAAAGATGATTTTAATAAAGTAAAGGTAAAATTACTTTTTTTTTATCAAAGTAATTTTAATAAAGTAAACTTGATTTGAATACGACATAAAGCATAAAGTTGAAATAGACCAAAGCAAAGCTTGAATTGATATTAATGTCGACACTGGTGTTGACAAATCATTATCACGCTTGTCTCAAAGTCTTTGGAGTAACTTGGAAAGTATCATATATAATTATACATAATTGGATTGGAATAGGGAATTTCTTTTGGCTTTAGCACCATGACTGAATTTCTTACTGGAGTAGCATCCTCACTTGAAGGAATGGTGGATATGTTCTGAAGAGAGGTTTGAATGTGAATTATCTGCACCTAGAGTGAAATCATAACTTATATTTTCTAACCATTGGTCTAGGTCAAAATCTTCATACGGATCTTGCAAATCTTGCCATTCCATTTCTTTGATGACATCAGGGGGAGTCCAATAAGGGTTCCGTTCTATTGGTCCAACATGGTTAAGTTCATATTTTGTTGTTTTAAGAAGGGGTTCTTTCAGTGCACCATTAAATCTTGTTTCATAAATCTTTTTATCAATCTTGAGTTGATTTCCCATGAAACATCATTTTGGAGCTCTAACCAATTTTAACTGGAAATTTTATAGTTCATCTCACATATCTGTCTCTGATACTTTGTGTATTCAACAAAGTGGTCAAATAGAGAATCTGACGGTGAATAACTTTGTAAGCTATAAATTGCTGTGTAAGGAAAATACTGTGGTTCATTTACCAAATAACTACAAAATCTATGAAAAATCAAAATGCTATAAGGATAAGGGAAAACTTTTGTGTATCTTTCATAGGTTTCTATCCATTGGATCCATATGGGAATAGGTTGAACCATTGGAATAAAAACTTGAGGTGTTGGTGATTGAGATCCATCTAGTTTTGTTTTGGGTTGATGGTTGACTGGTGAAAAATATAAAGCCATCTTTTGAGCTTTTGGAGTAGGAATTCTTCAACAATGTAATAAAGGTGACAAAGGTACTATATGAAACAAATAGTTTCTTGAGAACCAAAATGGGTTAGGGAATTTGAAGGGGTGAATAAATTGGTAGTCTGGGTGCATTCTAAAGGATTGGATGAAAGTGTCTCCAAATCTTTTAAGTATTTCAGATTGGTATTTGAACAGAAGGTGTGGGGCTTTTGGTCAAAGGATTTAGGATTTAGTTGCAGTCAATCTTGGCAATTCTAAAGGGAGTTTTTTAATTAGGATGTTGAAGAATTCATTATGAAGGTTAAATTCATCACTAAGTTGAGGTTTTGTTGAAGGAGGAACAAAGAGTTTTTTTGAGGATGAGGCTTGTGAGAAATAAGGTTAGGGTGAGGGATTCATCATTGATATTACAGAATAATTTTCAAAGAATTTGAAGTAGGTCTGAAAGAAAGTTCGGATAATATATCTGGAAAAACATTATCCTTTCTTTTTATATGTGTTGTGGTGAATGAATACTTTGAAAATCATTAGGAGAGTCTGAGCAATTGTGCATTTGACATTTGCTTTTTCTTGAAATTGAGAATTTGGTCAAAAGCTGACATATCTAGTTCCATGAAAAAGTAGTATCCAATAAGGTGAAATTCAAATCTTTGGATTCCATATTTCACTACTAAAATCTCTTTCAATGTAGAGTGGTAAGGATTTTCAAATCTTTGAATCTGCCACTTTTGTGTCCACATATTTGTTTGATTCCATATTTGTCTTCAATTAAGATTGCCAACCAATAGTTGTCACTAGCATCTGTTTGCAATATCCATTTTCCATTTAAAGGAATCTTTAAAGTTGAAAGTGACTAAGATCTTATCTTCAGCATCTGTATTGATTGTGTCTACCTTTGGGACCATTTGAGTGGTTCTTTTTTTAGCATCTGTCTGAAAGGATGAGTCATCTAAGTAAGGTTTGAAAAAAATTCACTATATAATTGACTATGCCAAGGAATTGTTGCACTTGTTTTTTTGAGAGATTTTCATCAGGGAAAGCTTCAAGTGTCTTAGCATTGTGAGGTTAAGCAAGGTATTGACCATTTTTCAAATGCATACCTAGAAAATCAATTTTTGAGGCACCAATGATCATCTTTTTCTCTGAGAGTATTAACTTATACTGTTGAATAATTATTTGAAACTTATAAAATAATTGTGTATGAGATGTGACATCTGAAGAGAAGAGTAAGATATCATAAACGTAGATTAGTGCATGCTCGAGAATCGGAGTAAAAAATCTTTTTTATTGCTTTTTAAAACAGTGAATGAGCCACTTTTAAACCAAAGGGTGTGACAATCCATTAGAAATGTTGAGGGATACAAAATGCCATTTTGTATATATCTTGTGGATATATACCTAATTGCCAAAATCTCGCATTGAGATCAAACTTTGAGAAAACTTTTACTTGTGACAGGTTTGCGAATAAAGATATTTTGTTGGGGAGAGAAAACTTATCATTTGTAAGAAAAACATTAAAAGGCTTGTAATTAATCACTAATCTTAATTTTCCATTAACTTTGTCTGATTTTTTATTGACATAGAACGCTTCATACACCCATAAAGAAGAGGCTGGTTCAATTAATCTTTGAGCCTAGAGTTGTGAACATTCTTTAATGGCCTGTTTGATAATTTTACAAGGCTTTTTGATGCAGATAATCCACAATATTGTGGTAATTGTAGAGCATACTTGTATCACTACAAACATGATATAGAAAACTCTTTTTAATTCTAAACCTAATAGCTAATAAAAGATGAAAGAATTACCAAAAGAAAAGAAAAAGGTTTAGAAAAACATATTTATATTAGATGAGGTTTTCTTACAAATAACTTCTTGAGGAAGTTAGGCTATATCTTTCTCAAAGAAGTTTACAACTTATATAGGAGCAAAAAGTAAATGAATAGGACTTATAATAATTATATTGGGTCCATAAGTTAACATAACGCAATCAACTAGACTCAAAGTGACTGACATGACTAAAGGTGACTTTAATAAAGTGGCTTTAATGAAGTAAAAGTAAGATTCAATTTCTTTTATCAAAGTAGCTTTAATAAAGCAGACTTGACTTGCATGCGATACAAAGCATAAAGCTGATGTAAACTAAAGCAAAGCTTGAGTTGATGTTGATGTCGACACTAGTGTTGACACATCATTATCACATTTATCTTAGAGTCTTTGGAGTAATCTAGAAAACATCACACATAATTATACATAATTGGACTAGAATAAGGGATTTTTTTTAGCTTCAACACCATGACTAAATTTTTGATTGGAATAGCATCATCACTTAAGGGAACGATGGGTATGTTCTAAAGTAGCATCATCATTTAGTATCAGAGCACAACTCTATATAAAATTCTCATTCTATTTTATTTCTAACACTGAGTTAGATAGGAAAAGCCAAAAGAGTCTTCTTTCTCATGGATTTACCAAAAGTCAATAGTTCATAACCTTCTACTTCTAAATCTTCGTTTAGTTTACCTTATTCTCTTTCTTCTATAATTAGAAAATCTTATTTTTCTGAATTAGATTTTTTTTATGAAGTTAATTATTTTTTAAAAAATAAAAAAGTCCAAGAAATAAATCTTCCCATTGTTAATCCTTATATTGCATTCTCAAAATCCTCTACTTCCTTTTCTAGATCTATAAAAACCTTTTTAAAACCAAAATATCAAACTCCAAAATAATATGTTCAATCTACAAAGTTTAATCAATGCATTCTCCCAGCTAGATCTTAATAACACTTTGTAACTCTTCAGATTCATTCAGAATTTTCACAATAATGGCTGGACCAAAGATGTACTCTTATCCACTTTGGTGCTATCAAAATTGTGTTAAACTTTCATGGAAGAAATGGTATTCCTACTTGTACCAAAATGGCTTTGCTGGATACAAGATTCAAGGATTATTATTAACATACAATACTTGGAATAGCTGAGATAACGCTCAATGCTGGAACTATTTTCTTCATAGTTTTTCTAAACTACAACATGTCTTTCCATGATCTAACACTATTATATGCTTTAAAAGTTCAAGTACAAATTGTAGGAACTAAGATGAAAGGATTCCAAGCAATATTTCACTATCAGATGGCATATAGAATTTAAGATTATGCCATAAACTTGCCTCTACCTGACTCTAATGATGCTGTATTTGTAAAGCTAAAAGCTACAAACAAAAATCTTAGATGTGTTCATATTCCAAAATAAATCTCAAATAAAGAATTTGTTGCTTTACTCCATAAGTCGTGGA